TATATAATTTTGTTTACCTCATTTAGAATTTAATCTATATTGGTCTCCTCTTTAAGCTGTTTCATAGACATATCTTCTAGTACTTTGTATTTCCTGCACGTGATTTGCCTCATAATTCGATTTCGATTCCGTTACCTTCATGGGTAGTCTGAATAGTGAATCTGCTAGCACGTTCTCACTTCCTTTTATTATATTATTCCAAGATTATAAATAGCCATTTACCAAGTTTATCTTGATAACCGATTATTCACAATTTTTGTCAGAGCTCGATTTTTCCTTAACAGTATCTCCAAGATTTGTCTAATTTAAATGATTTCTCCATTACAAATATCTATGGAACTTTTACATTCCAAATAAAATGGCCCGCGCTTCCTTATCGATCGCCAAATTATATTTTTCTGTGTCCTATTGTGCATGCATGAAATGAAATTTAACTTATAAATACTATTTAATGACCAAATAAATATAATTAAACAATATATTAATTAATTAACTAATATTTCTAGTATATAACATCTATAAAATAATTCTAATATACCTCGCCCCCCCCCTCCAGAAAATAAATTTATATCATATCTAAAAGAGCATTTGAAATAAAATAATCTTGCCATACAAGAATTAATGCAAGTTAAAGTTAACAGCCCTTTCTAAAATGTTCCATAGGATCAGTTTTTGACCTGGTAAAAGTGGTAGTAGACCATCAGTACTGTAACCATTTTATAAATATTTCGATAGTGTCAATTTCCTTTATATTCCACGCTGGAAAAGTTATAAATTTTTGCCGACTAGATTTTAAATCGGATGAAATGTTTTGGGGCAGTAGAAAAGTACTATAAATAATTTGAGTTTAAAGTTGATAATGACAAACTCAACTATAAAATTATAGTATTAACAATTTTGTTTTGGACAGTATAGATTCTATTAATAATATATTTAATACAAAACCTTTAAAAGTAAGAGTTTTCATTACTACACAAGGAAAAAAATTAAATTATTTTTGGTAAACTATCTTTTCTTATCCAGACTAACAAAATTTGTAAAAAATTTAAATTTTTCTTTCTTGTGGAGTAAGAAGATTGGCATTTTCTAACCCAAAATGCCTTAACATTTTTTTTTACAAACTAAAAAAAATGATCTAATTAAAACAAATGGTTTTTATTACTATTATAATATATATTTTTAATTCAATAGTGTATATAAATGTTCATGTTCATGTTTTAATTTTTTTACCGAATAAAATTAACTTATTATGAAGAAAAAAAAAATTAATTAATTTAAATTTAATTTTAAAAATAATTATTTTAAAAACAATTTTTAATAAATTATTAATTAAAATATATTATTTTTATATAAAAAAAATATAATAATTTCATATTAACACACTATATCTATAATCAATATAAAAAAATATAATTAAGAGAAGGGAAATTTAAAAAAATAAAATAATTTATATTAGGGTATGGTCGGCGGGGCTTAATGCCCCATGTATGGATATGCAATTGAAACGACAGATTTAGATTGATATTCAAAATATTTTTTCTTCTAATAATGCTACAGAAATTTTCAATGCAAAATGGCGGGCTATTAACAAAAAATTCAAAGATGGCCTTTTTGCTTCATTTTTTTTTGAGCATTGAGATGTTGTTTTTATTATCTCTAAGATAAACTTTTCTACCCCATTCAAGTTCATAGAATTGTCTATTTGAATCTTATCTATTATTTCACTTAATACAATATTTAATCGTTATTTCTAATATATAACTTTTTTTCAAGGATCATGCAATTTAGGATACACAGATATTTCTACGGATCCGATGTTTAATTTTCATAGTTATCTAGTTCAAGGAGAATTTATTAAATATCAAAATCTTTCCCAAGAGCATAAAAGGAAAATACAAGTGAAAATTCCAAAGACTTGCTGCGCGGTTGTTGAATACAAATCTGTAGATACTATTTGGAAGGATAATGAAAATATTTTCAATATGATAAAAATGTTTAATGCTTCAGCTAAAAAGTGTGCTTGCTTTTAAAATTAAAAAAAAAAGATAAATTGGGGAACTATATAATATATATATAAGAAACAATATTTTATATTAATGTTTACACTGTTTTATTTTTAAAAAATGTTAAATATTAAAAACTAAATATAATATGTGGAGTAGGTAATACGCGGAAAATTTTATTTATGTTTTTGGTGTAACTTAATCAAGATTAGGAACATATTAATCTCTAGCCCAAGCCTTTTTTGATAATTCATGGGATTCGGCAGAGATATTACTTCCCATATATGACTGTTAAAAAAAATTATGTACCGTTAAGTAAAAAATATGTGGCAGGAAAAGGCAAGTATTTTATTGAAAAATTATCTAAAAACTTGAAATATAACTAGATGAAAAAGTAATTATTTTAAAATAATAGGATTTTTAAATAAATGTTTATTTTTATTATCTCAGATTAAAATATCGTTCTTAGTTATAAATAAAAAATGAGAGATTACGATTTTCAATTATTCTAAAATATGATATATATATATATATAATGAAATAGAATTAGATATAAAATATATAATTAAATAATAAAAAAAATTGATTGTTAATTTTTTTTTGCAACAATATCGTGAATTGAGCCTATTTTTAAAAACGGCTAACTCGATATTTCATCCAGAATAATATTACATAAGCCTGAAGATTTTGCTTATAGAAAGAACAAAGGTTTGGACATCTATTAGTGAAATATCGTGGCTTAGGCAATATTTTTTTGGCTAAAATATTGAGTTAGCCGTTTTTAAAAATTGGCTCAAAACGAGTCTTTTAACAATACTATGACAAATATACAGCTTTCATTGATTATGCACAACCTCTAATATTGTGAACTTTAATACACTTACTATTCTAAATAACATTCTTTATCCCCTAAATATATACCATAATACATAAAACGGTGTTCAAAATAATACGATATATAATGGAGAGACATCCCATAATTAAGTGGGCACTCCACCGCCCTATAGAGAGCCAGTGCAGTGAATTTGCAACTGCTTGTCAGTAATTTACCCTACTGTCAGGGTCTGTTCAATTTAAGAGGACTGACGGTACCTCTATGGATAAGCTAGTATCCACTAATTGATAGTAATATACCCTATTATCAGGGTAAGAAATAAGAAATTTATATATAGTATTAATGTATTATTATAGATATGTATGTATGTATAAAAAAAAGAAATATGTGATGATGGTAAAGGTAATAATTAATAAGTTGAATATCTTAAAATGAGATTGGGTAGTTGTATTTCATAATTATATTTTTTTAAAAAGAACAGGAATAAATAATTAATTTTTCGTTTAAAAGTCATGTTTAGAAAGAAATGAATAGATAAATTTAAGATTTGGAATTTGTTAGGAAAAAGCAGACGATTTGGTATTTGTTAGAAAAAAAAGAAAAAGAAAAGCAGACGATTTTAATTTAATGCTAGGAAAGTATCATGTAGATTGTTATATTATTAATTAAGAGATTATTTATAGTTGGTTTAGTTATTTTTTACGAGATAGTTAAAAATTGATAGGGAGATAAGAATGTATTTTATTTTATAAATTGAGTGATAAGTTAACATGTTTGAGAAGAAGGAAATATAAAGGTGGATTATTTTGATGATTTAAAGGTGTTAAGGAATATATAAATATATAATGTCACTTGATATTAATCATTCAAATGTGTTCCTCTTTTCAAAATATATCCCACGGTATTTATTTTATTTTGGAACACTTTTCCCTCATCAATCATAATCCTAAAATTTAGATACCAAACAATATTTCTGAACCTGATAATATTCTTTTATTTAAAAAAAATGATTGCTTTATTTATTGTCTCTTTATAATTTGCTTAATACCTACTTTTCTTTTATTGTTTATCTTTTATAAAATATACTATACTTAATTTTATACATTTGTTGATTGCATCAAATTCTATATTATGCAATGGCCCATGTCATTCTTGTCTATCTCATAGACGCCACTGTCAATCATAGTTATTTATTGATGATAAAATTTGTAATATTGTGACTCTAATACTCTTCCTACTCTAACATTCCTTTTGCCTCCAGATATTCCCATAATACATATTAGCGTCATTAGCGGGAATGGGGGGGGGGGGGAGCTCAGGGGTTCGAACCCCCTGAAAAATTAGAAGGACCTCTAAAATTTATATAAAAAATTTAAATAAATAATTAGAATAAATTTTTTGCCCGGTTTTGAACCCCGGGTCTGAATCCCGGGTCTGAATCCCGGGTCGGTCTGAGCACATAAAAGGGTCATAAATTATACAACCAAGCAAATTAACAACACTATTTCTGAGACTGTAAAAGCTAATAACACCCATGATAATATTAAAACAATACTATATAAAAACTGGATAACAAAGAAATATGTATCGTATCATATCTAATGAGTGTCGTATCCTTCACTAGAAAACCCAAAATTAAGAGGGAAATTTTCCCATCCCTAAGAAAGCGTATCCAGTGCAGTAGACAGAGTTGGGCAGGTCCTCCGAAAATCTAGATACAGGTACAGATTCTATGTGTAAAAATAAATCTTAGATCTTATTCAAAATATCAAAAAGTTACTTATATCTTTTGTATAATTGGATCTTTAATACAAGATACTTTTAAATTATCATTATAAATTAAATTAGAATAGTTTGTAAAATACACTATTTATTGTTTATTTGTGAAGAACATAACATACGAATATAATAAGATAAGTCTGAATATTTACAATAATTAATAATATATTTAATGAGTTAATTATAATAATCAGGCATTTTAATATTAGTAATAGCTCATTCATAGCATAGATAGGGAAGGGAGACTAATATTTTTAATGGAAGTTGTAATATTATTACAATAGAGTATTTAAAATAGATTCATTATTTTTTAAAATATTATTTGTATTATTGAACTCAGCAACATTTGTTTCACCAAAAGAAAAATAATCATCATTTTCTACATTAGATGTTAAATCTATCGGTGTTATAGTTTGAGCTTGATTCTATACTCTGGTACTACATTTAGGGGTGCTAATCTGATCCATAAACTGTAAATTTTCCAGCTAATTTTGATTGTCATCATATTTAAAATTTGCCGGGAGGAAAAAATAAGGAAATTAATAAAAGATTCTCGAGGGAAATAAAATATAAACTGTAATATGTAAAATTTTAAAAATGAATATTAAGGATATATATATATCTGTATCTTTTGTTGTCAAGAAAATGAAAATGATACAAGATTCTTTTCAGAATAAAGATTCTTAGATACAGATATTAGCAACTTATTAAAAATATCAAAAAGATACCGAGTAAAAGATACAAAAGAATCTTGTATTTTAGATACAAGTATTCGCGGTATAGCCCAACTCTAGCAGTAGATTAGTAATTACCGTTTGTTTTTGGGTTGAAAAACTGAGAATTGAGTATTGATCTAGATAATTTGGTGCATTGATATAACAATTTCATATTTACTTTTATATCTTTTTATTCTCATGATAGAAAAATTTGCACACTATTTAAATGAAGAATTTCATTTTAATATTTCAAAATAATAAATAGAGACTGGGGTTAGTCGAACCAATTTTTACAAAATTGGCTATAGCTATTGTTGTTTTATAGATAATATAAAAAATAATATGTGATTGGATACCTAAAACTATACTCTATAAAGGTGCCTTATAAAAAATCTTAAGAATATAATCATTTTTTTTAAATTTTATTTTTTGTAAAAGTGAAAATTTTGTTCAACAAGCCCCAATAGCTGAGTGAAACCATTTTAAGGGGCTTCCTAAACCATTGGTATTTTAGGCCATAATAAATTGAAATGCATTTTTATTTATTAATAATGATGTGTATAGAATAATTTTATTGTTTTATTGTTCAAAATATCATAAAACTTATAAATTGAAGCTAATTATAAATATAAAAATTGAAACTTAATTTTGATTAATTTAATAAATATTTTTGACATAAAAAAATATGAATCCTAAGGAGAGATTAAGATTTCTTAGCATAAATCCTAAATACCAATCATAAACAGCCATGAAATTGCTTTTTCAAGATTTTGAAATTTTTTTCATTACTAACTGCCATAATTGACGTGTATGGTTTGGCAAACCCCGCTAGCTCTAAATTGACAAATCATGTTTGAAATAATATCTAGATTTGATAAATACTCATAAAACTTACCCAAATTATAGAAGAATCTTTAAACTTTGCAATAAAATTTAATTTACATTTAAATGATTATATATTTTAATAAAAATTAAAATTCTGTCATGTAAAAATCTTTTGAAAATTTCATCAAAATTTTATTTCTTAAATAAAATTTTTAGTAATTAATTATTTCAAAATATATTTTGTCCATAGATGTATAGTAATAAAAACTATAATAAGATAAAATTTTAACCTTCTGGTGTATTTAATTTTACAATGAGATTAAGTGGTTTGCCAAGCCCCGGGGTTTACCTAACCCCAGTCTTCCCTATATTTATTAATGTAGCAAATTATAAAAATAAAAATTATTTTTAAGTTATTGATATTATCCTGTAAAAAAAATAAAAGTAATTATAAAAAATTAATTTTAAACGTTTTAAAAAAATAAAATAAAATAAATCATTTTAAGTTAATAGATACCTTAGATAAGAATTAAAGAAACATATTAATGCTTATTAAAATAAAATAATAAAACTTATCGGATATATTTAAAAATACAAACGACTATTTTTTTTTCGACAGTTAATAATTTACTTACTGTCAGGCTCCATGTAATTACGGAGGGGTTGATGTTAACCTCTTAGATGATTAGGTATAGGTAGAAGGAAATGTAGTGGTAATTAATTACTTCCAATATTGTCAAGAATCAAGAAATACAGTTGTATATGTATATTTTTCATAAGATTAGTTTAAAATTTTGTTTGTTGTATTTCTTTTGTGATGAAAATGATTTCTAAAAGCAGAAGAAATTATGAACATAAAATTAACCTGTGTTTATGTTTGTTATTAGCTTTATTTTTGTAAATTTTTTCTTAAATATTTTTTTTTTATCATTTCACAAAAGCAGACGATCCAGACCGATAACCATATGGCATAAAAAAAAATAAAATAATTTCTTCGCTGGAAAATTAAATAAATATATGAATCACGTGATTAAAAACTTCTCGAATTCAAAATTAAGAACAAATGTCCATCATAGACGTCAATTTACAAACTGAAAAAAAAAATATAAACAAATTAGTCAAGATTTTTTTCTAAGGTGAAGGACTACTCCTCTAAACCCCGCTTTGCTTGCTCGGGCTTCAGTTCCAGCCTTCAATAAAATATTCAGGGATTTTTGGATAAAAATGTATTTAGTTTCTTTTTAATATTTTATACCTATTTATCAGAGTTGTTAAAAGATACTTTTTAAATGGATCTAGATACAGATACATCGTCAAAAATAATATCTAGATACAGATATTTTAACCAAAAATCTATCTAGATACAGATACCACATTTTTATATCAAGATACAGGATCTAGATATAAGTATCTAAATCCTTTAACAACTCTGCTATTTATATATATATCAGAGACCTGCAAGCCCGGCCCTAAGCCCGGCCCGGCCCGGCCCTGGCCGGGCCGTATTTTAAATTTTTTAAATATACCCGGGCCGGGCCGGACCTAAAAAATTTTATCCGGGCCGGGCCGGGCCTAAAAATTTTTTTAAAATATATCCGGGCCGGGCCGTGCCTAAGATTTTTAAACCCGGGCCGGGCCGGGCCGGGCCTTAATATTTTTTATAAAAAATTTTACATTATGAGTTATTGTTTATAAGATTATATTATATTATAGTTATGATTAATATAATATTGGGTGATGGTTAACACTACCTAACACCCACAGATCGATCTAATTATTAATTTCCTGAAAGATACCGGAAAACTCATTTTAAATTACTTAATATATTTTAATATCTAAAATTTCAGTGCTCCCAAATTGTGTTAGAAAACTTAGAAGTTAGACTTAGAACAGTATGTATAATTATTATAAATATATTTTAAATTACTTAATATATGTTATTATCTAGAATTGCAGTGCTTCACTAATCATTATCAAATTTTGTTAGAAAAGTTAGACTTAGAACAGTTGTGTTAGAAGAATAGTTTAGAAGTGGATATATCCCATAAACAGATTTAAGTAATAAAAAATTCTTTTGAATTATTCTCTTTCATATATTAGTTTATAAAATCTATTTCAAATTAGATTGAATCTTTTTGTAAATAATATAAAATTTTAATAACATACTTTTTCTTATAACTATAATATTCAGTTTAAATTTATTATAATAAATAAATATAATAATTTCAATCTACATTATTTAATAAATATTGATATTAGATATTTATAATCAATGTAAGATAATAAATAATTAATTAATATTTATTATCATTAGAATTAGTGATACTCAATCAATCAATTTTAAGCATTCAAGAAGCTAAAGTAAAAATTAATATTAAATATAAATCTTATAATTCATATCTAAATTTTTAGAATATTTCCAAAACAATCAATAAAAGGAATATCATGGCACAAAACACTAAAGATATAATTGACAAAATTAAAAATAATATTTATTCTTTTAAAATATAATAATACTTTAAAATCTGAAATTTGGTCTAAATTCAAAATTATAATAGATAATAATAATAAAAAAAATATTGGCTATGTGCAATGCATAAATTGTTCAAATTTATTATCTTATAATTATAACCATGGTACATCACATTTAAAAAGACATAAATGTGATGGTAAATCTATGAAAATTAATAATTTTTTTTTTACACCTGAAAAACCCACTTATAAATGTAATATGAAATATTTAAAACAAAAATTTATAGATCATTCCTTAACACTTTGCGCAAAAGATATTAGACCTTTCGAAATGATAGCTGGGAATGGGTTTCTTGAATTCAGCCAGGCTCTAGTCGATGTTGGGGCAACATATGGTAAAATAGATATCAACTCATTAATTTCACATCCCACCACTCTATCACGCCACCTTAAAGAAAAATGTAATAAAATAAGAAGCATTTTGGTTGATACTATTGCCCCAGTAATCAAGAATCGATTTATGGCTGCTTCCACTGATATATGGTGCGATGACCATAAAAAGAACTCGTTTATAACAGTTAACATGCACTATATATCAGATGACTGGAAGTTAGTGAAGAGAAACCTATTTACCGCTAAATTTAAAGAAGTGTCTAAGACTAGCCAAGTAGTTAAGGATGAACTATTAAAAAATTTTCATAATTTTAGTTTTAACAATAACGATTTTATTAATATAATTTTTGTTACAGATCAAGGTAAAAATATTATAAAAGCATTGGAGTTAAATGAACGATTAAATTGTTCTTGTCATTTATTAAATACAATTTTAAGAAATTCATTTAACTCCAAATATTTGGAAAGTAATGCCCCATTAATAAAATCAACAATAGATAATACTAAAATATTAGTGGGGCATTTAAAACAAAGTAATAAATGCCAGCATTTAAAAGCCCTTTATCAAGATATAGAAGTCCGCTGGAACTCTAAGTACAATATGCTCAATTCTGTTTATTCTCAAAATGAAGAAATTAAAAAAGTTCTTCTAGAACATGGGGGATCGGAAAAGTATTATATTATAGACTTTCCGATCCTTCAGGATCTAGTCAACATTCTTGAGAATTTTAACAGAGCTATTGTTGAGTTACAGTCGGATTCTTGTACTCTTTTTAAAGTGGTAATATGGTATTATGAACTTCTTGAAGTTTGTAATACCTTTCAAAGCGAAAAAAGAGAAATAAAATTGATATTACTTAATATAAAGCATTTTTTAATTGAAAAATTTGTTTTACACAAGTATCATTTTATTTCTCTTTTTCTCTGTCCCAAATTCAAACAATTACGTATGTTGTCAGGGACAGATCGCAAGATGGCGGAAAACTATATAAAAGATTATATTAAATCACAAGAGGCTCAGGAAGTAAATGAAATACCATCGACCAGTCAAATTACGACTGTTGTTAAACAAACTGAGTCGTTTTATGACAAATGGGGCGATGGTAATTCTGGTAATATCTCAATACCCGATGATGAATATTATAATTATATAAACAAAAAAACAGATGAAATATTTAAGGTGGATAATTTGTTAGAGTGGTGGGCTTCTCATCAAAGCGAATTCCCAATTTTAGCAAAATTGGCAAAACGGGTATTGGCTATTCCTGCTTCAAGTGCAAGCTGTGAGCGGAATTTTTCCACTACTGGAAGAATTCTTGAAGAAAGAAGAAGTAATCTTCAACCTGAAAAGGTAGATATGCTTCTCTTTCTTCATGATAATTTGTGAATTTTTAATATCTTTCTTGAGTATAGGGTTTCGTCAATCATGCTGGTTTTTTACTTTGCAAACTGTCAAATATTTATTGCATTTATTATATTTTACCTTGAGTCATGAAAGTTTTTTATTATTTTTTTTACAATATATTATAAATACAATTATCTTCTTTTGTTAAAAATTTATATTATTAAATAAATTATATTAATTTGTGCAATTTGATTATATTTTCAAAATACTATTTATTATACATGCATTTTTTTAAATAGCGATTTATTTTTACTTTATAAATTAAATAGTAAATTAAATACTATTATATTGTCAAAATATTTTCCATTTTTATAAATTATATATTAGTTTTATTATTTTTAAATGCAATATAAAATATAATATAGTATATGCTCAAAATATTATTACCATTTTTATGAATATTAGTTTTATTTTAAATGCAATATAAAATATAGTATATGCTCAAAATATCCATTTTTATAAATAACAGTTTTATAATTTTTATAAATTTAATATAATATTCTCAAAATATTAGCTTTTTACATGTATTTTTTAAATAAAAATTAAAAATCACAAATAGAATCTTTTATATTCAAAAATATTATTTGCACAAATTTTTTATAGTATCAATTTGTAATTAAATATCTGAATAAAATATGAAATATACTTATATCCGGGCCTTAAATTTTAAAATCCGGGCCGGGCCGGGCCGTAAAAAATTTTTTAAAAAAATATCAGGGCCGGGCCGGGCCTTAAATTTTTAATCCGGGCCGGGCCGGGCCGTAAAAAATTTTTTTAAAAATATCCGGGCCGGGCCGGGCCTTAAATTTTTTAATCCGGGCCGGGCCGGGCCGTAAAAAATTTTTTTAAAAAATATCCGGGCCGGGCCAGGCTTAAAAATTTTAAAACCGGGCCGGGCCAGGCCGTGCAAATGGTACCTCTGCAGGTCTCTGATATATATATCTAATATCAATTTCGAAGAGTCGAACGAATGATTTGAATCTGAGGCACTATTTAGGAATTGCGCTGTTATGCGCATTATTGCTTTATGAATGCTTTAATAAGTTTAGCATCAAACGCTAATTGTCGATTGTTTTAGTAAGGCGCAAAACCTTAGATTAATACTAAAGTGATGGCTATTCTTCTCTCTTAAAAAAACAAAAACTTTTATCCATATAAGTTAAGGAATCGTGAGGTTCTAAGGAAAACTTCTTGGAACATTCCATTCAAGTATATAGTGCGTGCCTTTGGAAAGAATCCCATTAATTTTCTATGGTGCAAAGAAAAGAGGAAAGTAAATGTTGGAAACCACCTTGTCCCTTATTCCATGATGCCTTCGGAGATTACCTTAGCGGTAATACGTTCGCGAAAAAATCATTTGTAACGATGCGCGAATTGAAAAGAGCCAGTTTAGGGCGGAATAAATAAAACTTATGCGTAAATGTAATAAATATATTATATAATATGATTTTTAATAACTATATGTTTTTGAATCGCATAACAATACGAAGCATAATTTACGTAATTAATTAAAAAAATTGATAAGATAATTTAGATTTATTGTATATTTTTTTAGGCTTTTTATTTTGTATAATGTTTTATGAAGCTACTTTATATATTTTATCTGTAAACGCGATAGCGAATATATTTTTACCATTCCACTATGGTTCCCAAATTCAGAATCAAAACAAGGCCAAGGAGTATATATATATATATATAAATTATTTGAAAAAATTATGTATTTGTGTATTAATCAAATTCCAAAGATGTATTATCTAATCTATCACTGATTAGCAGAGTTGTTAAAGGATCTAGATCTAGATATAAAAATTTGGTATCTGTATCTAGATAGTTTTGATTAAAATATCGGTATCTAGATATTATTTTAGACTATGTTCTGTATCTAGATCCATTTAAAAAGTATCTTTTAACAACTCTGCTGATTAGTATTGTTATAAACGGCTCGTTAACTCAATATTATCATTCAGAAGAAAAAAAATTCAACCCTGGAAGATTTTGCTCGTTGAAGGAACAAAGATCTAGACATATGTTATTGAAATCTCGAAGCTTAGCCAATATTTTTTCCAACTAAATTATTGATTTAGCCGGATTTTAACCGGATTTTAAAAATCGGCTCAAAACGAACCGGTTTACGACACTATTACTGATTAGAGGAGGCTTTGGAAAAAGATTATATTTTTATTTTTACGTTCCACGAGAAAACGAATTTTTCGATATACTATAATATTATAATCTAAGAAGAAATATTTTTAAATTAAAGTTTGACTTAAAATAAAACGCGCCATTTTTATAATTAATCTTATCAAATTTAAACTATGTTCAAAACTTTTATTTTTTTTTTTGAATTTTTTATTTTTAGAGATGGTTACTATAGAGATACAATTAACTCCCTAAGGAAAATACGGCACCAATTATCGAATTTAGCCAAATGTAAAAAATACAATTTAAAACATTTATACTATATATACATGCTTAATTATATATATAGATGATTCTAGATTAGGAGAATCTAGATTGGATGAGTCTAGATCAAGTAAATCTATTGATAAGAACTATGCCTATAAATCCCTTTCGAACCAAATGTCGTCGATGCCTAACATATCGGTCGCTATCAAGCGCATCGATCGCGGAAATACGATGACGCCATTATTGAATAATGCCGCGCCCTCGAGCAAATATTTAAAACTGGAAAAATGGCTGAGAGGACCGGACAACGAAAAGAACATGAAGATCACTTACAAAATTAAACAGAGTCCCTCTATCGGAGATTCGCCCTATTCAAGAGACGCACTTCACCCCAGCGTGGCGCGTCAGTTTAACGACAACGAGATTGACGAAAATTATATATTCCTCATGCGGATATATTCTAACAATTTGAAATTTCAAAATTTGAACCTCATCTACGGTAACAAGGTATTGACCAAGAAAATGAAGAACAAATTTCGAGAGATTAAAACGCTGGAAAAAACGTTGCTAAAATTAAGAAAAAGGTTAAAAAAATTGTCGCGACTTTACGAGCGTAATTTGGAAATGGCGCCAAATTTGGATTAAAATTTATCAGTTTTTGTTAGTCACGTGATTTTATTTGTTTGAAAATTGGATTTAATCCTAAAAATGTGGTCAAAGATAATAAAAAAAATTTTTTTATATAATTAATTTTGCATCTATATATAGTTTAGGACTCTTCTGGTGTTGTCGAAAGCGTTCTTTCTTTCTTTCTTTCTTTCTTTCTTTCTTTCTTTCTTTCTTTCTTTCTTTCTTTCTTTCTTTCTTTCTTCCTTCCTTCCTTCCTTCCTTCCTTCCTTCCTTCCTTCCTTCCTTCCTTCCTTCCTTCCTTCCTTCCTTCCTTCCTTCCTTCCTTCCTTCCTTCCTTCCTTCCTTCCTTCCTTCCTTCCTTCCTTCCTTCCTTCCTTCCTTCCTTCCTTCCTTCCTTCCTTCCTTCCTTCCTTCCTTCCTTCCTTCCTTCCTTCCTTCCTTCCTTCCTTCCTTTAACAATTATTTTGGATATTTTTTTAAAAAAAATAATTCATGGTATTTAAAAGGTAAAAAAAACAATATTTGTTTTTTTGAAATTAATCATAATAAATTTTAAAACATTAGCTAATAAAATGGTTATTAGTTTGAAAAAGAATGACAGATTTTTTTTATGTTTACTTTCTTTCAGTTGCGCCAACTCCATGGGGTCAGCTGAACTCTCGACTGATTAAAATATTTTATAAAATAGACCATCTGCCGACGAGAATAAAGATACTATGATAATCCTTTTTTCCGTTCCGCGCTATTCATTTCCCTGTGATGGACGTGGAATGAAATAATTGCTAATAGTTTCGAAACCGGAACAACACTTCGTAACACATCAGTCAAATCATAGAACTGCCCCCCCCCCTTTAAAATATTTTACGAACCCTCTAACTCCCTCACCCCCTCCCTTTTTAAAAAATATAAATATATTAAAATTCGGAATCGTTTTTTACAGCTGGTTCAAAACTCAGGAAAAAAAATGTATATCACGTGGGGCTTGTTCTATGAAAACCGACCGAACTGAAATAACCAAAGAGTTAATTTTTTCATTTTATTTTTGATGTAAGAAAAATTTTTTATTCATTTTTAGGGTCATATTTACCCCCCCCCCCTTCCCCTTGAAATTATTTCTTTATTCTTGAGACTTTTTTGAAATGAAATTATGATAAAATTTAACGCAATCGTAAAAATTCCGCTACCTAAACTCTTTCTTTAATCCCCACGGAATCTTGGTATGTCATCCATAGTTTATAGTTTAGAGGAAAATATCTATAATTATACATTATCGAACTATTTTGAAATATATGTCAATCATTCCTATTTTCGAAATATATAAAGAGTTTTACCATTTTTATAAAAACAAATTGTTTTTTTCGAATATCGCCTGCGTGTGGAAGAAGATATAAAAAAATAAATAAAAATATAGTCGAGACATTATTATACAGTACAGGGATAGAAGATATATCAACAAAAATATTTCCAAAAATGTCAATCATTATTTCGTAATCCTATCACTTACAATTAGCATGTTTCCTTCCCAACCTATATTTTAGTAGGAACCATCTGCCGAGATTTAAACTTAGAAAGAATTTCGAATGTAAGATTTATTTCTTCCCCAGCAAAAATTTTATATATGGGTTGGGCCTAAAATTCTATAAAAATTATCGAGATCCGATAGGGGGAGTGGGTAACCTCAAGATTTTCTAATATACAAATTCTACAAACTATTCAATGCAACTATGAAAAAAAATTTTTTTTTTAAATTAGTTGTCGATTTATAGTTTACATTATACAGTACGAAAATTTGCCTATTTCTGGAATAAGGAATTAGCATCGATTAAAGAAAATTTATCATATTACACCCTCCCCCCCTCCGAACTTGCTTTTTACCGGAAGTAGAAGAGAACCTTAGGAACTGAGAAGGAAGTGGAGTAACCGGAAACACTTTTCTTTAAATATTTTATAAGAAGTAGAAACCGGAACCAAAGCCAGTCTCCAACAAAAGTGCAACTAATCTTCTACAATATTATTTTCCAAACTTTTGAAATAAATATTGAAAACCGGAAGAATAATTTTTATTTCCGGTTTCAAAATTCCTCAAACCCGTGGAACGTGATTGGGATGACTATACAGTTTATTCATTCAAAAAATTTTTTATATAAACAACACTAAATAGATTATTTTTTTTAAAATATAATTTTTGGTTTGATTATTTTTTTCCCTTTTTTATCCGCTTCCTTTGAAATTATTTTCACGCTTTTATCCGCCACCTTTAAAAACGTTTTTCCTTCTTCCTTGAAACCGGAAATCTTTCCAATCATATTGTAATAAAACAAGACGCAATTGTAAAAATCCGCGACGGAAGTTCTTTCGTTAACACCGTGTACCCTCGGTATGTCATCCATATTCATTTTCAGAGGGGAGAATCTGTATACATTATCGACGATTCTGGAAAAATGTTTGGAGTCTGTGCCAGCGGCTAAGATCGCTAAAAAAAAAATTTTTTTAAATTAATACAAACAAGATATTTTAAAATACCTCCACAAGGGAGTTTATTTTTTTTAAATGTATGTTATATAATATTGGAAAATTAAAAAGATAAATAAAGATCTTTTAGTAATATTTACAATATATATGTGCCAAGTTCAGGAACCGTTATTTATAAAGGCGCCTAGTTCAGTGATTAAAAACTGCCTAGAGTTTTAAGCTTGTATTCTATTTGCAAGTTTTAGAAAAAATTATAAAAAAAGGTTATTTCAAGAAAGAAAGAAAGAAAGAAAGAAAGAAAGAAAGAAAGAAAGAAAGAAAGAAAGAAAGAAAGAAAGAAAGAAAGAAAGAAAGAAAGAAAGAAAGAAAGAAAGAAAGAAAGGAAGAAAGAAAGAAAGAAAGAAAGAAAGAAAGAAAGAAAGAAAGAAAGAAAGAAAGAAAGAAAGAAAGAAAGAAAGAAAGAAAGAAAGAAAGAAAGAAAGAAAGAAAGAAAGAAAGAAAGAAAGAAAGAAAGAAAGGAAAGAAAGGAAAGAAAATATTTTTAAAACATTGATAATCAAACTTGTCTTGAATAAAGAAATATAAAAAAGACACAAAAAAACTTGAGTTAATTTAATCGAGAAAAATTAGGATAGGCACAACAACTTAAGAAAAGAACGGTAAACATTTTGAAGATATATCATCTAAAAGATTGAACATATGTGTTTCAAGGATTCCACAATATTTGACTGAATCAGATTTGGATATTGTTCAGATAGAAATTTCATACTATATCTTAGTCAACCACAGTAAATAAAATATATTTGTAACAATGTAGAAAGTTTCTTTTACTAAATTTTTTTTTTTATAGTGATATATTTTATTCGTTTGGGAAGAGTGGGGGTGAGTGGTGCATAAGGGGCAAAATAGTCAATTAAAGGTGGGAAGGGGGTGGGGGGGGGTTCCATTTTGGTTAAGCGCCTGCTAAACATAAAATTCCCAATATTTCGCATTTTAAAATTGATGTAAAACAAGATAAGCAAACCTTGTTCCTATTAGAGATCTGCAAACCAAGGCCCGGTCCTCACCCGGGCTGCGGGTAAGACCGGTCTCAAAAAATTAGGTCCGATGTAGTTAACTAATTCCTATTATATACCAATATATTAAATAATTAAACTTCCTCGAAATAAATCTCTTTTTTTCTAGAACTCTCTAACCCACCACTTATAAAAAGATCCGGGAACGAGGTTGGTTTCAGCCAAAATACCGGGGTCTAGGAGAGTGCAGGGTTCGGTTTCGGGTTTACATCCCTTGTATGTTTTTTAAAAAAAAATTTAACCTGGTACAACTACAGTGTTATTGAACATTTTTAGAATTATCCATTCTATTATTCTGAAAGCATCGGTGTCGTAATCAGATATGGGGCTTCTTGGAGCCATGTTATTAAGATCTACTTTTACCCTTTGGTCATTTATTATTTGATCGACATATTTTAAAACCTTTTTATTTTTTAAATATAAATAAATAATATTTTTTAATAGATTATTTATACGTTTTTTTTTTACAAATATATAAATTTGAAAAAAAAAATGAAAATTCTGTTTTTTATGTTAAAATTATTTCAAAAAAGATAAATACATAATATTCTGAATAAACTCGTATCCTAAACTAAGAACTCTTTAAAAATATTAGTTTCAGAAGTTTGTACTTCCGCGAGATATAAGATAAAATAACATTTATCTTTTTTATACATCAGTAAACAATGGTACTGTAAAAGTAACTTAAAAAAAAGTATCGACGTTTACAGTCAATTTTAACAATTCCTTTAAGAACTTGTATCACGTCATCGAATCGTAATTGAATAGGAACGATGTTTTACTTCTTCTGGATCTTGCAAGGGGTGAACGCGGAGATTGAGGTTGGCTTCCGCGTAATTGGGTACTACGTTGTATTTGAGTCCACCTTTGAAAAGCGTTCCGGCAGCGGTTGTTCTAGTGAGAGCGTCTATCATTTCATTGTGCTTTATCATACTTTTTGGATTTTAAAAGAATTTATTTTAATATTTTTTTTAAAAAAAGAAAGAAAGAAAGAAAGAAAGTATATGTTTGCGTCGACTTTAAACTTTTAATGATCGTTTTTTTTGAGCGCGTTTTAAATTTAAATTTAGAATTTTGATTTTACCGGAAATATATTGTGCAGGTATCTTATGAATTGTATGTAATTTTACAGATACTTTTTTGGAGTCATTTATAAATTTATATAAAATATCAATGAAAAAAAAACTAATATAAATTATATTAAATTCCAAAATCTTTAATTCATAGGGGTAGGTATCCAAACATGGCGGCACACATTTCCGGTAAAATCAGATGTTTAAAATTCAAAAAAAATTAACGCTATTATTACTAGATTCAAATGAGGATATAAATTATTATAGTATGTTCCCTTAAACAAACAAACAAAAAAAGATGGCTAAAATCGTCATAAAAAATCTTCTAAAATTTTTTTTTTGTTAAATTTTACTATACGTGAAAAAAATTAAAATCAACTTTTCTAATGTGTTTCTATGTAAAGCCACGTTTTCCATCATTTCTGAATAGGGATGCGGAAATAAATACGCGACGCGTTTCAAAGTTTCTACGTCGGGTGTTCCTGGATGAGCAAAAAAGGAGGCGAATTTGTTGGAATCGATGTTGACCAAAGCTTTCGATAATATAGTTATGGCGTTTTCTTTTGTAGGAACGCTGGAATGATCTCCCGCTGTCGCCACGCTTATATTGACGTTCATCGCGTATTTTTCCGCCACGCCAACTCTAACATTGTGTGTAAGTATGAATTTCAGGATTTCGTAATTAAAATTTTATATTTAATATTCCACTCACGGAGCTATTTTCATATTTTGAGGAAGAATATCTTTAACAATGCTGAATCCTTCGTTGAGCAAAAAGTCTGAATTTTTAAAATAATGATATTCTATAAGATAATTAATAATCATTTAAATTTTTAGATATTGTTAAGGAAAGTGTGCCCGCCAATTTCTTAATCTCGCATTTTCGAGAGCATCTACTGACTTCGTGTATGTACCCCCCCCCCTCCCTCATTAAACAGCTGATTATACTATAAAATGGGGCTCTGTAAATTAAAAAAAAAAGTAACGGGAAGATTTTTCACCTATAGGTTTTCCTCCGTCGGCTGAACGCGCGTACGTATTCTCTAACATGCGCGCGACATTTTTCCCGCCATACAATCCTCCGACTTTCTCGTCATGTCCAAAACATAGGATCAACGTTTTGCGGATGGGCCTCTGTCCCCGTCCTATCATATATTCGACAGACTCCATGATGGACATTACGATGTGCTTGGCGTCGGAAGTACCCCTTCCGTATATATAGTAATTCTTATTCCTCGGATCATCTACAAAAAATTTCTTGCTGCCCTTGTTGGTCTTTGGGTCGTATAGTATCTATTTATAATGAGGCACTATATAATTATATCTCGCTGAGAAATTGCGTAAAATATATGTATGACCGAGAAGCTATATCATTGTACCTATACATTATAATTCGTTGGCGAATGTTAAGCTCGGTTATCTAATTTGAGTATATATATATATATATATATAGATTTTTGAAACCCTGTGTAAGGTTTGGGGCTTGTATAGAATTTGCCCGCTAAACGGAGGGGCATCCCATTTGTGAAGATCTGAGACGGGAGCCACATCTTGGTGAGCTTGCAATATCCATGGTTTCTTTGAAGAATCATTTTTCTCTTCGTGCAGCGACTTTATCGTGTATACTATACTCAGGCCACCCACGATCTGTCTCTGAATCCAGGGCGTAGAATGAATCAGAGGATAAGCTGTATATAAATGATTTGGGAAATAAAAGATATTTTTTGGGAATCTCATAATAATAAATTATATATTTATTATTAATTTTTAAGATATATAAAATATGTATAATATATATATATACCCTTTTCCAGATAATTTTTAAATTTATTTAGTTCGGTAACGTTTGACACTCCAGGGTCCGTGGACACAGTTTCAAATGTGATAACTTTAGAAAACCTTCGTATAGCGGCATCCAAATTGAAAACAGAAGTTGCTTTATAAATTCATAATTAATGAATGATGGAAGGAAGGAAGGAAGGAAGGAAGGAAGGAAGGAAGGAAGGAAGGAAGGAAGGAAGGAAGGAAGGAAGGAAGGAAGGAAGGAAGGAAGGAAGGAAGGAAGGAAATAAAACCAATGGGAGAAGTGATAAATAAATAAACTTACCTTCTGATATTGGTAATACCAGAAAATGAACCATCAACATCATCAGAATAGTGCACAATTTGGAACCCATTATTATTTTTTTTTGTATTATTAAATATTTATTTATTTTTAAAAACTTTATCAATATAAATCATTAAAACATTAAAAAATATTAAATCATTAAAATATAACTAAAAAACTTTTAAACCATTAAAAAAAATTAAAAAATTACAAATTTGAAAAAAAATCGTTTTTTTAAAAAAATTTTTTTTAGAATATTTCTAAAATTTTATTTTGTTAGAATTACTTAGAGTTTATAAAAATTTAAGTGTCAAATAGTGTTGTTAAACTACATTTTTAACCCGACAAAAACTGTGAATAGAAATTCTGAAAATCCTCATTTACCAACCTCGTAGGATTTTCCATCCCTAAGCTTATCATTCATTTCCAATATGTTCACATAAAAGGTCCCCAAGAAATTTATGGCGAAAATAAATGGCCACCTCTTGCGAAATTTTGGCTATGCCGATGAATTCGATTATTCACAAAATAAAAAGATTTTGTGTAATAAAATATTAAATATATATATGTCGTATTGGGATATGGAATCATGGGCAATCAAAATCCCCACGTTTAATTCAGATACTTTTTCTTCCCTTTTTTTGCCGTTAAGGCTGGCACCGTATAATTAAAAGGCCAAAATGAGGGATTTAATAAAAATTTTAAAAAAAAAGTAAATAAGATAAAATTAAGGCATATAATGAATGAAAAAATAAGGTTAAATTGAATATTTTCACATTTTAAAAAAAAAAATAATTAATTATTAGCAACAATTCTTCGATGCTATATGACATTTGGTTGAAATTTAAGGTTTTTCTTGAAACACTAACACCTTTTATTCAAGCAACCCCTTTTGCAATTGCATAACGATGATTTCCCATAGTTTGTGACATTCTGAGATGCTCATAAATATTTTTAGCAGTTTAAATAAATAATTAATATATTTTATGTATACATGAATTAATTTGAGGAGTGTATGTGGTTACTATAAAAATAGCTTATTGTGCCTATGATTGATATAACTTTGTTGGGAACTTCAAAATCATTTAATTTTATAGTTTTATATCGACCATATGCAATGAATGATGCTGAAATTCTTCCAGCACACGTTCCTACCCATATTTTGTTCAATTCTTAATGCTCTCCCTTCTAAATATTTAGGAATAAAGTTACTCAAAGACATGTAGATGTGCCATTTGCAGGGTGCGCCTAGATTTTTTTTTTAAAAATTATATATTTATTTTTAATGGCGATTTAAAATATTTGGTTATTAAAATTATATATTATATATTTATTTTTAGTGGCGATTTAAAATATTTGGTTTTTAAAATTATATATTATATATTTATTTTTAGTGGCGATTTAAAATATTTGGTTTTTAAAATAATATATTATATATTTATTTTTAATGGCGATTTAAAATATTTGGTTTTTAAAAATATATTGGGCGAGGTTTTTTTTTTTCAAAGGATTTCTAAATTATTGCATTTTGAAATGAAAATTTATTTTTAATATGAATTAAGAATCTTATTGGGCAGGGATTTTTCTTATCATGGAATATCTAAATTATTACATTTTGAAAATTTGTATTAATACATTATAATTTATTTTAATGCCTTAAATTTCTTCAAAACAGTTAGAGAATATAATTTATGTAAAACCATATTAAAAAACACCCGAATAAAAATCTACTTAAAAAAATACGGAAGGAAATGTAGATAATATTTTTAACGATTCAGTCACTTTTTTTATTGTTTACCAATGTGGAAAATTATGTGAAAGCTATATACATCGCTATTAAAATAGCCAAGGTTTTAAATCAAAGATTCGCACTTTCAAATTGTAGTTTCAAGAACAACATCAAATGTTCAACGAAATGTCATATTGCATTGAAGAATTGTTGCAATAATTAATTTTTTTTTTAATTCGGATTTTTTTAAAAAATATATATATGTGAAAATATTTATTGATTTTATATAAATTTACAAAAAAAAAATGTCTTTTAACCTTATTCCCTTTTCGTTCATTATATGCCTTAATTTTATACAATTTACTTTTTTGAAACATTCTCTTATCATTTTTGATTGGACAATTTATTTGTTATAACAAAATATCTCTAAGGCTGCATTCAAAGCGGAGACGGATCCGTTTTTACATCCGTTCCGTCAAAAGTCAATCCCATCGGGGAGGAGAAAGGTCGGGGGTTATTATGGTAAATTATTTTAGTTCAATGCGCTAATTCCTTTTCCCGGAAATAGATAAATTTTCATTTCCGTAAAATGTAAGTTATTCCACGAGTAATCTATTTCCCGTGATTATATCGAATGGTTTTACACATTTTTTTTATATTAGAGAAACCCGCAAACACACCCCCACCCCGCTCCACCATCTGATCTCGCCATTTTTATAAAAGAATTTTGACCCGAACCCCATAAAAATATTTGCAACGTAAAAACATTCAAAGACTTTCCGTAATATTAAATATATATATATATAAATTTTTAATCAATTTTGTATTGGCTTATCATAAAGGGAGGATAAGTTCTTATCTATGGAAGGATTATTACGAATAATACATGATTAATCAGGAACCTTTTACATTCATTTGAGTTATAAAGATATCTTCCTCCTTATCCTATATTACTATTGAAACCACGGGCTTGACTTGCTGAGAATCTCAGATGGGACAAATATATTTAATTCATAGAATATTCTTCATTCGACATTAACATATAATTTATGAATTCTTCAAAACTACGAACCTACCCTAAAAAGCTTTTCGGCTACTCTCATAGTTTCAAATCAAATAAGATGTCATTTTAAGGAAATATTTTATACTCCATAGTTCTACAACGAAAAATGTTACAAAATTATTTGGCCCAAAATTTTAAAATACTGGAATTATTTATGGGATTAAGAGTTAAGAATCACATTTTTCGAATAAATATTTTAGCCGACATCCGCAATTTTTTTGGCATTGAGGTTGAGGGATTTGCCGCTCCCCTCCCCCACTTCCCCATCTTTCCCGCTGTATATGCGAATGAATATCGTTTTTAAATAGTAATACAGTAGAAATGAAAAATAAAACAAAGGGGATACGAAACTTCCCAAATTGCAATAATGATGCACGTGATTGGCAACATTGTAGGGGAATTGTTTTTTGGAATTATAAATTTTTTTAAAAACCTATATAATTTCTCTGCATTCAAAATAACTTAAATAACAGTTTCGGGAGGTTTGGCGCGCGATTCCCACGTCAACCCCAATCTCGTCATCTATTCAGCTTTGAAAAGAAAGGCTGCATATGTTTTTTAAAAGTAGCTATATTTCTTAAGAGATACACTATGGGACTAAAAAACGAGTTTATATTTAAATATTATATTTTAAAAGCAACTATATTTCTAAAGAGATACAACTATGTGACTAAGAAACAAGTACAAACATTATTTTTAAAAGTAACTATATTTCTAGGAAACACCTCTCCCAAAATTTATAAGAAGCCTAGAAACCTCAACCAGAGCCGATCTAGCAATTGTTTCTAAGTGACTCGTTACATGAAACATAAACTGGGATTGACTAAATTGTTTATTTCTATCAATTTTTTTTATTTTGTTTTTGATAAATATAATTAATCTAAACAAAAACAAATTTAGCTACACCGATAGAATTAAACATATATTTACAAATCAGACTATAAATCATATCTTTTTCGGTTTAATATTTTTTCCTTTTTTATTAGCTTCCTTTGAAATCGCTTTCACATTTTTAGCCGCGTCCTTTGAAATCGCTTTCCCATTTTTTGCCGCTTCCTTTGAAGCCGTTTTCACATTTTTGGCCGCCATTTTTGAAACTTTTGTATCATCTTCCAACCCCTCAGCAACAAATTCGATCAAATAATAATAAAATCTAACGCAATTGTAAAAATCGGCAACGGAAGTTCTTTCGTTGATACCGTGTATCCTCGATATATCATCCATGTTCATTCTTAGGGGAGAGAATCTGTATACGTTATCCACGATTCTGGAAAAATGCTTAGAGTCCGTGCCGGCGTTAAAGATCGCTAGAAAACACAATTTTATATATTTAAAAGTTTAATCTCTCGGGAAATGAATAATGAGGGGGGTGGGGGTGTATTAATATCTAAAGCCAGGGTAGTTAAAAGATACTTTGCGAATGGATCTAGATACAGATACATCGTCTAAAAAGTTATCTAAATACAGATACGATTTATTAAATTTATCTAGATACAAATACCGCATCTTTATAACTAGGTAACTTTAACAACTCTTTTAATACTAATAGATATTTCAAAACGTCCCAAGAGTTTATTATTTTTTTGAAAAGAAATTTAATTATATTATCTGCTAATACTTGTAATATTAAAAAAAAGGTAACTTTATTCATAATGTCTATATATATAAAGGATCCTATATCTATAAAGCTGCCCGGCTGATTGCAGTTAAATGACAAAAAAAACATCGAAAGGTTTCGGTGCTATTGGGGTTTCAACTGCCTAAATTTTAAGCTAGATTTAGATTACAGTCTTTTAGAAGAATTAAGGTTATTTATTTTGAGTGTAAGAACTTTTTTTAAATATTGATATCATATATAGATAGATACATTAAAAACTATATTAATTATTATAATCGAAGAAATATTAAAATACTCATGATGAGCATTTAAGACATATCCATTGACACACTATAATACCTAGACTGACGATGCATTCACTTCAATGAAAACAGCTGGGGACGCCATTTTGATTTCCCATATCATTATTAAAAAAATTTAACGAGAGGGCCAATTTATTCCTATGTCTGACGCAAACTTTATTAAAGAATTACCTGATCTTCGAGATAATCAGGAAGCAAGTTATCAATTTAGTAGTACTTATTAACACGAGAATAATTACTATATGGATTAACCAAGATGGCGGGCCCTAGCTGATTTGCATTCAACCGACGCTTTCAAGTGCAATTATTATGAATGCATGGTCAGTCTAGGTATAATTATATGGCATTGGATAATTCACTTAAATATAGAACGTCTAAATATGTGTTAGATAATCCCACAATATTTAATTAAATCGCATTTGACATTTCGTAAATTTTAAAATTAAAATTAAATTTATTTAATCATGAAATTTATTACCATTATAAAAATGATATAATAAATGTTTCTTGAAATTTTTTTTTTAATAGTATTGTTGTTTTATTATTACATTTTTTTGGTTCGGTCGCGGTTCGTAAAAATTATAATGGGCTCATTCTAGGTAAGGTTCTTTGATTACTAGCTTAATAATGCTTATTACCAAGTCAACGTATACCAATTTTCTAAATACCGACCAAAATTTATTAAAATGTGATAAGATCCTTATTATTTAATATATTATAACTGAATCACGTGGTAGAGTCCGGCCATATATCACCCCCCCCTCAAGGACGGAACCACCAAGTTAGATTAAGAAGAAAAAAAACATGATCAATGACCATTGGATTCGTTAGCGACGCTCTTGCCGACTAGGCCACAGGGGTTTTCCAAAAATCACGCCCAAATATATATTATAAATAAATTTGGTAGTGCCCATCCAAATGAAAAATAAACAAAATATAAATTTGATAGGTAATAACTTAAGGTAGTAAGCATCATTAACCAGATTATTACATGGACAATTGAAATAACCCATCGCCCTTCACTAGGAACTTTAAAAAAAAAATCTTTGTATTTTGTACTATTTCAAAAGAATTATATTAACCTGGTACGACTATAGTTCTATTGAAAAATTCTTCAATAATCACTTCGAGTTTTCTGAAAGCAATGGTGTCAATATCGGATATGGGGCTTCTTGGAGACATAGTGTTAAGTTGCACCTTTACCCTTTGGTCGTTTATTATTTGAGCAACATATTTCAAAACCTTTATATAGGATAAATTTTATAATTTTATAATATTTAACTCTTTAGAATATTAGCATGAGAGGTATTTATTTTCTAAGATATAAATTGGTAAATATATTTATATGTTCCTTTCTTTAAAACATTGGTATAAATGGACGATATCTAAATTCAAATCTAAGTCAGCTTGAAGTTTTTTCTTTTAAAAAACAGCTTTTAGTCGTATAGTTTAGAAAAATTCATTCTGTTGGATGTTACATAAAATTGTTTACATTTGTATAATATCAGATTAAGAAGGGTAACAATCAAGATTATACCTCCAGAGGAATTAGAAGATTTGGCAGGAGAAATCGAGATAAAATATAAGCAGAATTATGATAAAAATATGCTATCTTAAAAAATTGGAAAAGAAATAGTGATGACCAATAATAAATTGATTTCAAAACGAACCAATACTATTAAAACAATCTTTCTCCGATTGGAGAACCCTATCTATAATTAATTTATAAGTTGATGAGGACCTTTATTCAAAGCTATATTTTTAGTGTGCTAATCAAAAATTATAACGGTCCTTTTGAATATTTCGAAATTGGGGGTTTGGAACATTTTAAGATGGTTATCCTATATAGTGGCTGAATATTCTTTCCCTCAGGATAAATAATATCGATGTCAGGATGAAGGTTCAATTATATCCCCCCATAAATATGTCTAAAAATCTCTTTCAAGAAATTAAGTTAAATTTAAACCAAACACGCTATATTCTAAGCTAAAAAAAATGTATATTACACAAATGAATGCAAAATGCTATGATAAAAGACTTATATGTTGTAAAAGAATAATCAGCATAAAAAGTGAAATCTTCAGTGATATTTTAGTAACAGTGGTATGCAATCTATCAAGGAATATAACCTTAGTCGTCAGGGGTTATTAATATTATTTATTAATATGGATTAACCAAATGAATATCGCGTATAATCAACTAGAAAGATTTGATTTATTATATAAGAATTTTAAGTCATTTTCGGTCACGAACTGCGCATAAAAATGCTGGTGGTGGTGGCCTATTGTCCAACTTTTAATTTAAAGCATTGTAAGCCGCTTTTGAATGGGAATATGTTTCTCATCTTCTAATCCCCAAGATTTGTTGTGCCATCTATGGCAAGATGACCAATTGATTTAATCCGAGAGGGTAAAGATAAGTCATAAGCGAATCGTTATAAAAAATGCAAGACAAATACGACACATAAATGTATATGATGTACCGATTTATGTAAATTGATAAAAATTATTTCATGATAAAAATAAACACACATTATATAACCATCTTCTCTCCTCTCCTCTCCTCTCCTCTCCTCTCTTCCTTCCTTCCTTCCTTCTATATGTTTTTAGAGGTAAAATAAAATGATGCTAAAGTTGCAAGACTTTTATAAGGATGTATTATAAAATAATTAATAGTTCATTTGATAGTAGAGCATGGCAATAATTAATGGGGTAACTATATTACGCATACTTTTTAAACGCAACAAAAAGAAGAGAAGAGAAGAGAAGAGAAGAGAAGAGAAGAGAAGAGAAGAGAAGAGAAGAGATAGGATGCGTGGGAATTAAGGCGTTATTTTAGAAAACGTTAATAAATTAGATTAATAAGAGTGATGCTTCACTTCATCGGGATCTTGCAAAGGAAGAACTCGGAGATTGACGTTGGCTTCTGCGTAATTGGGTACTACGTTGTATTTGATTCCACCCTTAGCTTGCGTCGCTGTAGCGGTTGTTCTAGTGAAAGCGTCTATCATTTCATTATCCAGCGTGATACTTAGGGGATTAAATAATTTGTAATAAATAAATATACATTTTTTTGAATCCTTCCCTAAACAAAAATTGATATTTAACTGAGGGGGCGATTAAAATGATAAGCAATTTTCAAATTAAAAATCAACTTTTCTAATGCCTTCCTATATAAAGCCGCGTTTTCCATTTGTAGTTTATAGGGTTGCGGAAATAAGTAAGCGATGCGTTTCAAAATTTCTATGTCGGGCGTTCCTGGGTGAGCAAAAATAGAGGGAAATTTGTTGGAATCGATGTTGACCAAAGCGTTCGATAATATAATTAAGGCGTTTTCTTTTGTAGGAACGCTGGAATGACCTCCCGCTGTCACCACGCTTAGATTGACGTTCATGACATATTTTTCCGACACGCCAATTCTAATATTGTTTAGGTGAAAAATTTTTTAGGATCGGTATATATAAAAATTAACAAATTAATATCCACTTACGGAGCTATTCTCATATTTTGAGGAAGAATATCTTTAATAATGCTGAATCCCTCATCCAGTAAAAAGTCTAAAAATTGAAATAAGGTATTAGATAAGATAATTATAATTATATAAAATTTGAATAAATTTATGCAAAATGGGAGCCGATTAATCTTGCATCTTCTGGAAGCATCTGCTGACTCAGTATAATCAGCTGTATTATCAAATGGGCTTCTATAAAATCAGAAAGCAACAATAAAATTTTACAACCTATAGGTTTTCCTCCGTCGGTTGGATACGGGTACGCGTTCTCTAACATTTGGGCAACTTTTTTACCGCCATATAATCCTCCGACTTCCTCGTCATGCCCAAAACTTAGGATCAACGTTTTGTGGAGGGGTCTCTGTCCACGCCCTATCATCAATTCGACGGCCTCCATGATGGCCATAATAATGTGCTTCGAGTCCATAGTACCCCTTCCGTATACATAGTAATCCTTAAGATCCGGATCGCTTGTCGAAAAGTTCTTGCTACCCTTGTTGGTCCTTGGGTCATAAAGTATCTAATTAGTAACGGAATATAATTATAATCTTGTGGAGAAATTGCAAAAAAATATATATGTATGATAGAGAGCTATATCAATGTAACCCCTCGCGATTTTTTAATACATATATTTTTCGAAAACCTGGTGTAAGCTTTGGGGCTTGTATAAAATTTGCCCGCTAAACGGAGGGGCGTCCCATTTGTGAAGATCAAAGACGGGAGCTACATCTTGGTGAGCTTGCAATATCCATGGTTTCTTAGTAGAATCATTTTTCTCTTCACGCAGTGGCTTTATCGTGTATACTATACTCAGACTACCCACTATCTGCCTCTGAATCCAGGGCGTAGAATGAATCAAGGGATACGCTGTATATAAATGATGGGTGTTTTGGGGAATTCGTGATAACAAAATTATATATTTATTATGAATTTAAGATATACCTTTTTCCAAATAATTTTTAAATTTATTAAGTTCGGTAACATTTGACACTCCAGGGTCCATGGAAACCGTTTCAAATGTGATAGCTTTGGAAAATCTTCTTATAGCAGAATCCAAGTCTAAGCGCTTTGGTGCTGCTTTATTAATTCCTAATTAAAAGAAGAATGAAAGAAAGAAGAGAAAGAAAGAAAGAAAGAAAGAAAGAAAGAAAGAAAGAAAGAAAGAAAGAAAGAAAGAAAGAAAGAAAGAAAGAAAGAAAGAAAGAAAGAAAGAAAGAAAGAAAGAAAGAAAGAAAGAAAGAAAGAAAGAAAGAAAGAAAGAAAGAAAGAAAGAAAGAAAGAAAGAAAGAAAGAAAGAAAGAAAGAAAGAAAGAAAGAAAGAAAGAAAGAAAGAAAGAAAGGAAGAAAGAAAGAAAGGAAGAAAGAATAGAAATATAGAAAATAAAAGGAGGAATAGAATAAAGAAAGATAATAAATATACATACCTCCTAATATTGATAATAGCAGTGATTGAATTATCATCATCATCAGAATTGTGCACAATTTGGATTCCATTATTTTGTATTTATTAAATATATATTTATTTCAATAACTTTATTATCATATATCTTTAAAACATTAAAATAATTTAAATCATTAAAGTAACCAAAAAACCATTAAAAAAAATATTAAAAATTTTTTAAGAAAATAAATTTTAATAAATTTTTATAGAATATTTCTAAAAAAAAAATATTTTTCGTTAAAAGTAACTTATAGAGTTCTAAAATTTAAGTAAAATATTTTATAAACGAGTTAATTATTACATTCTATATTACATGTTCAATCCTGTTACAGTTACCTTGAATTCATAGATTTAACAGCTGATTCATTTTTAAAATCTGTTTATGAGATCAATTATTCTTTATTAAAATCATTATTTCTTAGATTATTATTAAAATTCGAATTAAAGGTAAATTAATATTAATAAATAAAAATTGATCTCATAAACAGATTTTAAAAATCAATCAGCTGTTAAAATCGCGATCGCAATCGCGCCACTATGAATTCAAGGTTAGTCTTGTTGATCGGCTCGTTATGAGTTGATTCTTTAATAACGGCTGACTCAATATTTCATCCAGAAAAAATGTTTAGCAAAGCCCTGTAGATTTTGCTCATGAAAGGAACAAATGGTTTTAAGCCTTGTATTATCGAAATCGCGAGGTTATAGTTACAATATTTCTCTTGGCTAAAATATTTAGTTGACCGTTTCAATATAATCGGCTCAAAATGAGCCAGTTTAACAACACCCGTTACGGCGAAAAATATAGTTTTTCGAAAAATTTAAAGTAACGAATACTTTTTGCGTTACATGGTTACTCAAACAAAAAAAAACGCTCATGAAGGTTATGTTTAAAAATTTTGTACGCATTTATTGCCTTTGCTGTCTGTAACATAATAATTTTTGATTGAATTAATAAAAGAGTAATAATCCAATCTTTAAATAATGTGATAGAAGGGATTCTTCGTTTCAGAGTCGGCGCTGCCGTGTCCGAAGTTCAAAATTTGGCTCGAAAGATAACCCTCGAGACTGAAGCTGCCATAAACCCTGGCCCCTATCTGTAGCTCGAAAGCCTGGCTCCAGGGCCAAGCCGGCCCAGGAAACAGATTTTCGGGACAGGGCTGGATCAAATTTTTCCAAAATAGTTTTACAGGCCGGGATATTTAGGAATTAAGTAACTCTAAGACCTGCAGATGTGCCATATGATGCAGGGTCCAGCCCGGATTTTTTTTTTAAAATTCTATATTATAATATTTATTTTTAATGGCGATTTAAAATATTTGGTTTTAAAATATATTGGGCAGGGATTTTTCTTCATGCAAAATCTAAATTATTACACATTGAAAATTGATATTAATACAAGATTTATTTTAATGCCTCAAATTTTTTTTTACCCAGAACATTTAAATGAATATAATTTATATAAAACCATTTTGAAAAAACCCAAATATAAAAATTATATAAAATTTATTAAATAGACATTTTTAAATATTTTTTAATGGTTTAAAAAAATTTTTATGGTTATTTTAATGATTTAATATTTCAATGTTTTAGGATTTATAAAAAATAAAGTTTTTTAAAAAAAAAAATAGATAATGGAATTCAAATTGTGCACCTTTCTGATGATGATGATGATGATTCAATCACTATATTATCAATATCAGGAGGTGTATATTTTTATCATCTTTTATTCTATTCTATTCCTTCTCTTCTCTTCTCTTCTCTTCTCTTCTCTTCTCTTCTCTTCTCTTCTCTTCTCTCTCTTCTCTTCTCTTCTCTTCTCTTCTCTTCTCTTCTCTTCTCTTCTCTTTCTTCTTCTCTTCTCTTCTCTTCTCTCTCTTTCTTCTCTTCTCTTCTCCTTCTTTTCTTTATTTTTTTTTCCTTTCCTTTCTTTCTTCCTTACGTTTCCTTTCCTTATCATACCTCTTTTTTTTATCTATTTTTTTTACTTTCTTCCTTCCTTCCTTCCTTCCTTCCTTCCTTCCTTCCGTCATTCATTAATTGTGAATTATTCAAGCCACCTATGATTTGAATTGGGATGCCGCTATAAGAAGATTATCCAAAGCTATCACATTTGAAACGGTTTCCATGGACACCGGAGTGCCAAACATTACTGAACATAATAAATTTAAAAATTATTTAGAAAAAAAGGTATATATATTGTACATATTTTATAGATCTTAAATTCATAATAAATATTATAATTTGTTATCACGAATTCGTAAAAAATATCTTTCACCCATCATTTATATACAGCTTATCCCTTGATTCGTTCTACGCCCTGGATCCAGAGGCAGATAGTGGTTAGCTTAAGTATAGTATACATGATAAAGAAAAATTACCAAATCCTTATTTTTAAAAGAGCGTTTTTTTGAGTAACCGTGTAACGCAAAAAGTATTCGTTACTTTAAATTTTTCGAAAACTATATTTTTCGACGTAACGGGTGTTGTTAAACTGGATCATTTTGAGCCAGTTTAATTTAAAACAGTTAACTCGATACTTTAGCCAAAAAAAATATTATACCTACAACCTCGAGCTTTCGATAATACAAGTCTTAAACCATTTGTTCCTTTATGAGCAAAATCTACAGGGCTTTGTTAAAAATTTTTCTGGATGAAATATTGAGTTAGCCGTTATTAAAGAATTCAACTCAAAACGAGTCGCTTAACAAGACTAACTGTAACAGGATTGAACTTATAATATAGAAAGTAATAATCAACTCGTTTATAAAACATTTTACATAAATTTTAGCACTTTATAAGTTACTTTTAACGAAAAATATTTATTTTTTAGAAATATTCTATAAAATTTATTAAATTTTTTTTCTTAAAAAAGATTTTTAATATTTTTTTTAATGGTTTTTTGTATACTTTAATGATTTAAATTATTTTAATGTTTTAAAGATATTATGATAATAAAGTTTTTGAAATAAATAAATATTTAATAAATACAAAATAATGGGATCCAAATTGTGCACAATTCTGATGATGATGATAATTCAATCACTGGTGTTATCAATATTAGGAGGTATGTATATTTATTATCTTTCTTTAATCTATTCCTCCTTTTCGTTCCTCCTTTTATTATATTTCTTTACTTTTCTTTTCTTTTCTTTTCTTTTCTTTTCTTTTCTTTTCTTTTCTTTTCTTTTCTTTTCTTTTCTTTTCTTTTCTTTCCTTTCCTTTCCTTTCCTTTCCTTTCCTTTTCCTTTCCTTTCCTTTCCTTTCTTTCTTTCTTTCTTTCTTTCTTTCTTTCTTTCTTTCTTTCTTTCTTTCTTTCTTTCTTTCTTTCTTTCTTTCTTTCTTTCTTTCTTTCTTTCTTTCTTTCTTTATTTCTTTATTTCATTCTTCTTTTAATTAGGAATTGCAGCACCAAAGCGCTTTGACTTGAATTCTGCTATAAGAAGATTTTCCAAAGCTATCACATTTGAAACGGTTTCCATGGAGCCTGGAGTGTCAAACGTTACCGAACTTAATAAATTTAAAAATTATTTGGAAAAAGGTATATCTTAAATTCATAATAAATATATAATTTTATTATCACGAATTCCCCAAAACACCCATTATATACAGCGTATCCCTTGATTCATTCTACGCCCTGGATTCAGAGGCAGATAGTGGGTAGTCTGAGCATAGTATACACGATAAAGCCACTGCGTGAAGATAAAAATGATTCTACTATGAAACCATGGATATTGCAAGCTCATCAAGATGTATCTCCCGTCATCGATCTTCACAAATGGGATGCCCCTCCGTTTAGCGGGCAAATTTTATACAAGCCCCAAAGCTTAAACCAGGTTTTCAAAATATATTAAAAAATCTCGATGGGTTACATTGATATAGCTCTCTATCATACATATATATTTTTTGCAATTTCTCCACAAGATTATAATTATATTCCGTTATTAATTAGATACTTTATGACCCAAAGACCAACAAGGGTAGCAAGAACTTTTCAGCAAGCGACCCGTATCTTAAGGATTACTATGTATACGGAAGGGGTACCTCCGACTCGAAGTACATTATTATGGCCATCATGGAAGCCGTCGAATTGATGATAGGGCGTGGACAGAGACCCCTCCACAAAACGTTGATCCTAAGTTTTGGGCATGACGAGGAAGTCGGAGGATTATATGGCGGTAAAAAAGTTGCCCAAATGTTAGAGAACGCGTACGCGTATCCAACCGACGGAGGAAAACCTATAGGTTGTAAAATTTTTATTGTTGCTTTCTGATTTTATAGAAGCCCATTTGATAATACAGCTGATTATACTAAATCAGCAGATGCTTCCAGAAGATGCAAGATTAATCGGCTACCATTTTGCATAAATTTATTCAAATTTTATATAATTATAATTATCTTGTCTAATACCTTATTTCAATTTTTAGACTTTTTACTGGATGAGGGATTCAGCATTTTTAAAGATATTCTTCCTCAGAATATGAGAATAGCTCCGTAAGTGGATATTAATTTGTTAATTTTTATATATACCGATCCTAATAAATTTTTCACCTAAACAATATTAGAGTTGGCGTGTCGGAAAAATATATGATGAACGTCAATCTAAGCGTGGCGACAGAGGGAGGTCATTCCAGCATTCCTACAAAAGAAAACGCCATAACTATATTATCGAACGCTTTGGTCAACATCGATTCCAACAAATTTCCCTCTTTTTTTGCTCACCCAGGAACGCCCGACATAGAAATTTTGAAACGCATCGCTTACTTATTTCCGCAACCCTATAAACTACAAATGGAAAACGCGGCTTTATATAGGAACGCATTAGAAAAGTTGATTTTTAATTTGAAAATTGCTTATCTTTTTAATCGCCCTCTCAGTTAAATATCAATTTTTTGAGAGAAGGATTCAAAAAAATGTATTTATTTATTACAAATTACTTAATCCCCTAAGTATCACGATGATAGACGCTTTCACTAGAACAACCGCTACAGCGACACAAGTTAAGGGTGGAATCAAATACAACGTAGTACCCGATTACGCAGAAGCCAACCTCAAT